TTAATGCACGTCCAATCTACAGCTGTCACACTTGTTCTCATGGAGCCTTTCATTCTGGGAAATGCAGTACGCTACGACTAGAAGTATGAGCATCCATATTCCCTAAGCTGTCTGAGGGAAAACATTGTTAGAGTATCTAAGGGTTAACAGGTAAATTTCAGCTGTGGTTGAGACTTAATGTGGCTAAGTTTGGCTCCCAGTTTGGCAGGTTACCAACTCTCAGTTGGTTGCCTTCTGTGTTTTATTCTATTATTGCTTAAACCTGTTTTTTATCCCAGATTTGGATTTTACCAGCCAATGTGGCCCACATACAAACAAAGTAAATTTTTCGTGCCCTGCCTGTCCAGTAAATCTGGTGTACCACATGCTGCAGTTTGTGGTTACTGCGCCGTCCCAAGGTGCCTCGACAGAAGCCAGCCCCTTTTATGGCCGACATTCTCAGTATGGTGCTTAACGCTATTTATAAACCCGGAGTCTGTCACAGTGGCACAGAAACCTGAGATGGCAGTGGAGGGACGAGGCTCAGAGGGGGAGGACGGGAGAGAGGGAAGGAGGGAGGCAGCGACGGGTGAACATCATGCTGAATGTGTGTTTCTGTGTTAAATGGAGACTGTCACATGAATGACTGATCATGTGCGATAAGATGCACTTGTTGACTTGACGCTGAATTTTTACAAGGCTGTATTGATTGTTACTGAGGCTGTGTATATTTAAAGTAATATTATGATTTTAGTTTTCACAGGTAATATGTAGTTGTTAGGATATGAGATAATAATAAATAGACTTTATTGATCCCACATGGATAAATTCACTTGATACAGCAGCTCCAGATCATTAACAGTGTATAATTCAGATACATAATATAATACAATATAATATAATATAACAGAAAGATGTAATAGAAGATATAGATACAGTATAAAATAATTGCACAGGACAAATAATAAGACTGATAAATAAATACGTATAGTAATAATTTCTCAGTACACAGTACATAATATAATCATTTTAACGTGTATTATAAGATAATATAATAAGATATAAGATATTAAAAGAAATGTATACGATTTTATGAGAACCCCCATCCTGAGCCTCAGTAATGTAAAAGAAAATATTAATTATAAATTATGAAAAAAGTTAATATTAATGGATTTTGTCGGTCTTATTATTTGTCTTCCTCTTGCTTCTATTTGGGGGATTATCCTGCTTTAAATTTTAAACAATTCCCATAATGCTTTGGTGTTATAAACAGGATTCAGTAACATGCTGCTACAACTTGAGCTCTGTTTCATTCGCCTGTATTTAGTTATACATTTGGCACAATAACACCTTTATTTTATGGATGTTTACTTGCAACAAACTTGAGGACATAATGAGATCCTCTGAAAGTGTAAATCACACTGAATCTCAAAATGTGTGTTTCCTGTCTGGGTTCAGATTTGAGAAGGAGGAGGAGGAGTGAGGAGGGGGAGGAGGAGGAGGAGTGTGACTTGTGACGCAATTTAAGACGCTGTGGTTTTTAAAGTAATTGCCTCTATGAGCTGTGTTAGTTGATAAGTGAGACAAACTACATTAACGTTGTTTTTAGGACATCGGGATGCAGCTTTTCTCTTTCACCATCTAAACTAATGAATGTAATTGATAAAGTAATAATAATATTTGGAAGGATTTTTAATTTTAGCTGTAATTATGAACCCTTCTCAGACTCTTTGAAACAGCTATGTGTCGTTTGGTGCTCTCCTTTGTCCACCATTTAGCATCAAACTACCGGTATGTAGCTTTTGCTGTACACTGTGGCCTCAGATGATCAGATTAGATTACGAAACGCTACTATACACATAGTGCAGTTTAACAGTCGCACAAAATAGAGAAGTGAGTCATACAAAGAGTCCTAAAGTCAGTGCACTGACACAGTAATACTAGTTACTCAGCAGTATCTGTCTAAAGTTGGCTCACATTAGCCACCATAAGTACTGTAGCAGTAAAACCTCTGAGTGCACTGAATGGATCGAGACTTTATTGCTCAACTTTTCATCTGTAAGAAGGACAATATGCAGTTTCTTCTCTCTCTTATATTGTGGTTTTGCTTTAACATAACACCTATCATCGCTCCTCTCTTGCAGCACAGCAGCCACACCCAGTGCTGCGTAATAACTAGTTAGAGTCAACTCTGCAGCATAAACCACAGTCATATGAGGGGATCTTCGGCCTTTGTTCTGCAGTCTTTTCTGTGCAGCTTATCACAGCGGAAGATAGATATGTAACTATCCGCAGCAAACAGAATACAGTAAAATTTATTTCCTAGATTTTCACGAGCAATAACACAAGTGACCTGGAAAAAGTTCTGCAACTTAAAATGATCATATTTGGCAGCAGTACATGCAGAGAGAGGCAAGAAAGAGGGACTTTCTCAGACTTTGGATCCTCTTTCTGACGATTATCTTCCCCAGTAGTCACCAGACAGAAGTGTCGGACACTTACGCCCATCACTAAGGTGCAAATGTAAACGTAGACATTGATTTGAACCTCAGCATAAAAACAAATTAGGATGAAAATTAATTTAGAATTACACTTATGTAATTATGATGGTTGTAGCTCAAATTCTCTTTTACATCTCAGTGAATTGTCTGGTTTTATCATGTTTTTCTGGCAGCGTTATGGCGGCATTATAATCTGCACCACTTGGTAATGTGCCTATTTTTTAATATCCTTGACTTCTGTTTTAGCTATATAAGAATATTTTACATTCTAGGAAGTGATCCTAATAGGTCCTAATTTGGACTCGCCGTGTCTCTTGCAGCCATGTAAGGCCGGTAAACTGATCAAATTCGAAAAGTCAGCCACGCTTGGTGAACAAGTAATCTTCTCAAGTAAGGAGGAACACTGCAATCCTCTTTTTTTTCAAATCCTAATCCCCTTTTTTCAACATCAGGTAGAAGCAGTGCCATCCTGTTCGAACATGATCCTGCATCCTTTTTCTCACAATCGCTCTCTTATCTAAACGCACGCACACATCCTATTATTCCTCCATTAGTATTCTAAAGTGCATTAAGCTCTGTGTTGAAGTACAGTGGAGAGAGAGGGGGTGGGGGGGATTTGGAGAGGAGCCCAGTGTTAATCTGTGATTTATGTGGTTCGGTGGCGTTTGGACGGGCCCGAGCAGAGCGTCACGCTCCATCTGCCCCACTGTTGGCGGACTTGGAGTGGATAGCTGGCCTCAAGCCTGCAGCCTCTCACCTTCCTACCTCACTGTCTCTGAGCTCCCGTCTCATTATTTCTCCAGCTCTTACTGTCTTTATTGCTCCTCCTTTTTTGTCTTTTCAAATCCTACAGTCCCTTTTTTCCCCTCTGTCATTATAAAAACAGCCTGCTGCAGCGTTTCCCGACCCACTCATTGTCCTCCAGCTCCCACTTCTATATAAATCTCTCTTCTCACCCTCCACATGTCCTTGTAGAAGTGCACAAATTGTTCCTTCTTCTTCTTCCTGCTCCAGTCCCCCCC